TCGAGCCTAGAAGCGTTGGGAGCGTAGAGCGACTTTTCCCTTTGCGTCGACCTAGATTCTCCGAGTGTGGAGTGGGTTGGGCTTGACTCATGTTTGTGACGGTGACGGTTTGTTGCAAGTAGGGTAATTGACCGACGGGAATTCCAGTGGGAAATCTCCCGTTTATTTCCAGTTGTGACATTTTGAGTGTATACTCTCTCGCGCCTTATATGTGTGTATGTGTGCGTATGTGTATGTGAGTAGCATGTCAGCGATGTAGAGTGTATGGCGATATGTATTCGCACGACATCCTTCTAATCTTTTGATCTTAACATAACTTTAAACTCTTAATCTTGCAAATTAGAATGATATTTGTGCTAAAATCATATTTTTGTACTTTTGTAAAGCTTTATTTTGCTCTTGCAGCTCGTCTCGAACATGCAATTGATCTAACTTGTTGTCTATTTTCCACAATACTAGTAAAACTTCAAAGCAATGCTCGTCATAATCCAAAGCTCTTATATTAATTTTAAAGATTTTTCATCATAAAAAAATCAAACACATGAATTAAAATGACACTCATACACAAATCTATTTGAAAATGTTCAAGCACAAATCACATTGAACATATGTGAATCTTCACTACAATTATCATCATACATACATGGTGGAACAATACAAGCTACATGTATTAAACACCTAAGTCTTTATTGAGATTGCTTACATATGTCAACATAAGCTTTGGTGAGTTAATTTTATGTAGTGAACTTTGTTAATAAGTTTCATTAACAAAGTTCAAACTAACATGAGTTATCAATATATTGGAGTTCTTAAGTAATGTATTTACAATTAATTTAATTTAATGATAAAAAACATAATCAAATTATATTAATTACAAATAAAATATTTTTGAAGTTATAATAAATTCACATTTTTATCGATACATTAAAAATATCAAATTGATTTATTATGATATCTTTGACTCTCAAATGCATCAATGTTACAATAGTTTTGATTCAAATGACATTTATAAAATTCACATTTGTGAACATACATTTTTAATATATTTTTTCTTCTTAAAATATCCAAACTTTTAACTTGTAAATTTGTATCTAATTTTGAAAAATAGCTTTTTTTGAATATCTTGTTGAAATTTTTATAAGATTTATTTTGCCAATATTAACTTGACCAAACTATTCAAATCACACTACATATATTAAACAATCGTAATATTAAAGATTTCACATCTAAAACATACGTTTGATTTTTCACATTAAAATTTATTATAGTGTCACAAAATGTATCCAAATTTTATGAATTTGATGTCACTATGTATTTGAATAAAAAAATCACCTATGAATTAAGTTATCTAATTATCTTTTCAATTAATAACTGTTTTTTATTACTCATTAAAGATCTTGAAAGATTGAAAATAGTTCATAAGTTCAAAATAATGTTCTTTAACATACATTCTTTTAATTTTAAAAAAATTTAGACTTATAAAAAATTAATCAAGACTAGATTCAAAATATTGAATTTTTCCGATATGCCTTTAAATATATTGATAAATATATTTTCTATATATTCTAACAAGATTTCAGTGAAACAAAATCAAAGCAATTTTTTGTCATGATGTATCAAACATGAAAATCAATTTCAACATCACAATATTAAATTGATATATCTAAGTTTCAAATTATGAAATTTTTTTTATTATGTTAGACAATTGTTGAGGTTTACTCTAATTAAGGAGTAAGCTCAGTATCTAGCTATCTATAGCTAGGTTGATCGCCAGGTTTATATATAGACCAAGATTTCTACTTTGTACGAGTTACATTCTGTTGTCAATAAATATTCTCGAGTGTTTCAATTGTGGATGTAGCACTCTAAAGGATGAATAAGGTTATATGTCTCTCTTCTACTCAAGTATGTGAACCTTGATTTATCTGGGGCAGCAATGTGTAAATATAGTTAATATTATTACTGGGAACTTTTATTTACTAAATTCAAGTATCATGAAAATAACATTAACTTATAAAAATTAATTGTATGTTGTATTATTGGAAAAAATGCGTATTTTTTTAATGAACTTCTTAAAATCTACTTGTTTAATTATTGATTATATGTTTAATTTTGTATACTTCAACATGATAAGTCAAGTTTCCAAAATAGCTTCAAGTTATTTTTGTCAATGCATGAGCCAAATTTTGACTAGCCCAATGTTCTAATTAACAATTACATCTTTTATGAAGTGAAAGTGATGTTGATAAGGTTTATCATGTTATCCATCAGTCAATTTGCTCCAGGATATAATGCAAATTGATTAAAGTTCAACATCTTGCTTCATGTTGATTGAGATAATAAATTTTTTCAATCAAATAGTCTACTTTCTTGTTTCTCTAATGTAGACATATGCAATATACATAGTTAAATAAGCTATGCAGATATTACTTCAACAAATAATATATCTATCTCCAAATGTAAACACATATATTGTTGTACATTTTAACTTGTTCGTTTTCAAAATCAACATATTGTAACAAAATTTTTATATTGTTCCAGAAATCAACATAATAACATAATTAGATATATATATATATATATATATATATATATAGGTTATATAAATATGCACTTAATAACTTGCTATGAAACTTGTATAGATCTGACCTGAATTTTTTTACGTAACCCTTAGTTACCCTTAGATTTTTTTCACCATCACATACAAAAGGTTGCCCATGAACTTCTTATGGAAAATTGAGACATTATTCCTCACAAGATTTCAGTAATTGAAAAATGAGAGTTTAAAATATGGTACCGAAGAATCCAAAATCTCTCAAGATATGTCATGTTAACATGTCATGTCAGCACACCTTGAGGGTATTTGTCTTGACATAACTGATGTGATAATTAATTCTCTTTGCAAAGATTTTGTGGCATGGCATTGATAACAGTTGTATAGATTTTATAACCAAAGAAGAAGCTTGAAATGAGTAATTTAAGTATTTAAGATTTGATATCGTGACTATGTTACTTGCTAGTTAACAAAAAAAAAACATCATAATCTTGAGCTCTAGTGCTTCAGGTTTGATTGAGCTCTAGTGCTTCAGGTCTTCTCACTTATTGTCATATAAGTAATATTGATGAATGCAACATATGTAGTTTCAGTCAGCTTGTCTTGACTATGATTATCTTTGCGGTTTGCCATCCGTTGTGTAGACTTTTCAGTTGATTTTAACTTGCTCTACCTTTATTATGAGCAGTTTAAATATTCTGAGTAGAGGAAAAATTTCTAAGATATTGAAATTGTTGCTCAATGAATATTTGTGTTCTTTCTTACTTTCATTTGTAAGGATATATTACAAATAGTAATGCAGAATAATCTGTTAAGACAACTTCAGTGAAGCCTGTTTTCTTCTCAAGTGCATGCGCACTCCATGTAAAAATATTACTTGACCAGGTACCAATATTGGAGGATATTTATGGATTGAGATCCTGGTTCGAAATCGGGTTGACAATGAAGGTAATTGATTACTAAGTCTTTAAGCCTTCTTTTTTTTGTTAATCTTTCTCACAATGAAGATGAACTAAAACAACCCAATGACTAACCTCCACTAGGGCAACATCAATCGAGATATAAGCCTTGGTACATTCGGATGTCAATCTTCTAGGTCTCACGAGCGTAAGTAACAAACTCTTCTCATATCAGCATCAGATAAGTGTAGAGTTGATCACATGAATACAATTAAAACTAGGACTTGGGCACTTCGACACCTAGATTCAAAGATTTACTCATGATACTGGTGAATAATAAAATGGGATGAGTTGGATGACATGAGTAATGTGTCTCTTCGCTGGAAAAGCCCATAAATGACAAGAGCTTAAAGTTCTAAAAGCGAACTCTTATTCGATAGCATCATTCCACTCTACTGCAGTTTGCGATAGGATTATAACATAGTAGAAATCCTAGGCTCAGGTTCTAACAGATCCCTAAAAACACACCACAATGGACGAGATATGTCAGCCGTACTGGAATGCAATAACCAAAAAATAATATCCAGATGATAAGATGGTCGAGGAAGGAAGAGGTATGAGATGCAAACAATACTGAGATATGTGAAGAAACGGGGGCACAAACCATCAAACAGATATGTAAGATAAAATGGTCGCATGTCAGCGAAGTTATGCAGTAAAATTTACATTTTGTTTCAAAACTTACTTTTCTTGATAAGAAAGATATTTCCTTGAATGAAGAGCAGCCTGAAATTTAGTTCCTGCAGTCCCTTAATTGGAACAGTCACTTCGAGCTTAAAATTTTAATTTTAAGTTACTTACTTTTATTTCTAATTTCTATCTTTAATTTTAAAAATTTCCTCCTTACGAAGAAAGCCTGACGCGCGAAACTTCATAGTTTCGCCTTGGCAAAGGAATATCTTCCAACGGATTGTGGGAATAATCTTCAACTCGTTAATACATTATAAGTATATAAAATGTTGAGCAATAGTCAATAATATAAATATATTTCAGCAAGAATCGATCCCTTGATCATCTCAGACATAGTGCAAGTAAGCCCTGAAGCATGGGAATGGTTCGATTATCTAAAAGGAACAAGGGTCGAATATCATCTATCTGAGAGGAGATTCAGAAAGCATAGGGATGTAAGAATTGAAACGTGAGCAAAAATCGATGTAGAGTTAAAGACATGATGTACACATGAGAGAGGAGAGGTGGACGAAAGACGAGAGAACACAACCGTACTCACCAATAATTGCCGCTCATGGCCCGAAGACTAAAGACCGAGCGGGTTTGCTAAACGGTGCTCGTAAGAAGAGAAGATTAAACGAAGAGTTGATGAAAAGGGAACAAAAAGGACTGGGTATGAGTAAGGAAGAATACCACTGGAGACCAGCAGTATGTGGCAGGTGGCTAACTGGGAAGACAAATAATTGAAGGAAACTTAAACAAATTAGTTACAGATATAAAATTTGAAAATGAAGTCATTACAAGAAAGAAAGTACGTAAAATGTGTCATGAATATCTTAATAATTTTCGAGGATACAACCACAGCGATGTTCAGGCATGCAGAACTGAACGCCTAGAAGGACTTGGCATTGTGTAACGGTATCACGACATAATAGCATCGGGATCTGCAACAAGGTTCCTACAGTGTATAATCCCACCAGTATAGAAATCTTCAGCAGCGGCATCAGAGTGTGATCATCAAGTCACCACCTCCATCACATGGGCACCTTGAAATTGAACTTTCAAGACTGGGTTGAAAGTTTATCCTTATTCCACACCTTATACTAAAGAGGTAAGTGAACGCTCTACTACCCAGACAACTGCGACCTCAAGAGATCACCATGTTGTGATCCTTTTCGGTATTTGATGTTTAGCATTTGTTTCATTTTTCTGGTTACTCAGATTCAACGCTCTCCACTTCAGAACTCAAACATCTCCGTCTACTCCTTACCTTTCAGGGGGGATCTAGACTGCAGAGCTACCCTTTTACTCAAAACTTAAGCTGTCCTTATCAGCTCCGCGATCAACCTTGAAGCACAAAACAAACAACATCATTCTGTCAGCAAGCCCCGTGTTCTGTAATGTTCAACATTCAATATTGGACAAAGAAGAAAGCTTGAATCATCCTTGTCGAGACTAACTTTGGATACCTGGATTTGTCGAACTTTCGCGTATAATAACTCATCTGCAGCTGACTTGTAGCTGCGTTTGTAAAGGAGGTGATTTCAAACAATCCGGAAATAAAGATGGATCACCAATCCTCGTCTTAGAAGGCCGATGGCAGAAGTGCATCCACAATACATGATGCAGCCGCTCTGAAAAACACCCGCAAGATCCAAAGCTGATTTCACACGAGAATGAAACGAATAACTGGTTTCACCTACAAGACTACTAGCACTGTTGGAGTATAGAAACCTCCCGGAGATAAACGACAACCATCTTCAAACAAGCATGCGTGAGTCAAAACTAGATAACCTCATAGCAACTTACATTCTGCAGTAGAGGCACCATCGCCAATCCTTGATAAATTTATGCGAAACAAGGAGTACGCATATTTTGGACCTTAACTTGTACAAACATCGAAGGACTTTTACCTGTGCCAGACGAATGGTGCCCTCAATCGTCTGAGACGCTCAAGCCTTCAAACCTTTCTAAATTCCGCCACTTGTCCTTCAAATCTACCTGTAAGAGGTGACCCACGATAGTTACAAACGAATGTTGATCATCGATGATAAATGAGAGATCCCAGTAGAGAACGGAAATCTGTAGGCACAAGTCTGTGCCAATGGCATCCTGGCATTTATGATCAAGCTCAATGAAGAACTGATGTCACTAATGCTGCGAACAGACTAAGGCACCAAAATCGGCTAAAATTCACAATCGATCGACATGTCGCAAATATTAAACGTCTATGGAAAATAAAAAGGTGCATAAATAAAGAATGTAACCCTGTAGGTAAAACCGAGAAATTGACAAACTTCCGAAACTCACAGTGGAATGCTAGATTCATCCAAGGCAAAGCCTGCTAGTATCGAGATTCGCAACAGCAAAAGAGTCCTTGTTTCAAAGTTACTTACAACGAAACATACATTTTTCCAGATTTTTGCCGCAGAGATTAAGATATACCTAGTAACGTGTCCTGCTGGGCGTCAAGAGCTACTGATATTATTTTGTTATGGAGTCCATGAAAATGATACGCTACATTTAAAACGGGAGAGTCATGATAGTACCTCTGTGCGGCTTTCGAAAACTGTCTGATTATTAGCAAGAATTAGTTTCCATCGACCCTTACCATACCTGAAAAGCCATTCGTGTCGTCAGAAGTCAGAACCACAATTCTAAATGCACTGCAAGCAAATCAAACAAATCAAATAGCAACCACAAAAAGCAACTCACTTGAACACTTCACTTTTCAAAAGCTCGGTTTCCTCATTAGACCATTTGCGATGTTTCCTCCTCCGCGTGCTAGTTTGAGATGAAGCCCTGCGAGTGGCGATCACTGCAGAGGTCCGGGCTGAAGCAACACGCCTTGATTCTGGAGGACTTGGCGGACTTTCAGAAATGTCATCTTCGTCTTTCCACTGCACCATTTTCAGATCAGTCAAGCTAGCTTAATGGCTTGAGAAAGGTAAAGTCCCTTGTAAATACAATGTTCAGTTAGAAAATCAACTCGCGTACCAACTTCGTGTATAATCTTCCATCCCAAGAAAATAAAATTGGCTTCACTTCCTCTTGTTCATTATGTTCGCTTGCTTGATTTCAGAATTCCAAACCTCTAGCGTACGGGCAGTGGAATTTCGTTGTAAGAAGCTGGGCTTCGCTGCAGCTGTTTCTCCAATTTTCGATATGGGAAACTGTAGTAGGACCTCGTGTTGTGCATCCATGTTTCTGTCTTTCCTTGACTTTTCAGCACTACCCGGGCCAGAATTCTCCTTTGCACTTCCGGCTTCACTTGACGCTCCTGCTCTTGTGTTTCCTTCATAAACTTGAGCAGGCCCTGTTGTCTGATTATTACTCGAGGGTGAAGCCGGTTTCCTTCTAAATCGCAATCTGGCTTCTACTGCAATCGATATTTATGAGCGTCAGACAGCGGATAAGAAGATTTAATCTGTACATATGGGAAGGAAGTAGTCACATCTGCACTGTTACAAAGATAGAGCGGGAGTTGGGAGCAGAACCTACCCCAAGGGGGAGGGCTTAGCGAGCCTTGGATCTTGGCTAATGGTCGGGGAGAAGGCGACAACAGATTTATTGTTTCTACAGCAGTTCCTTCCATCTTCGAATGTTGTGGATCGGCAACTTGCAAGTCAGTGCACTTCGTCCTATTGCACGCTCCATCCGATGATGCTTCGTCCTTAGAGTATGAACCTTTACCCTTAAGATCTTGGCGATAAGACTTTAAATCACCTCGGGTGGTTGGGGATACAGGTGACGTACTCGCGCTTCTTACTTGTCGGTCACCTGTTATCTCTTTATCCGAGAGACCTCCATCTTTCACCAAGTTTGCATGATCCTCAGTCCTACGAAGTACCCTATCACAAGGCTGACTTCTTCCTGTTTCTTCATGGTCAAATTCTTCAGTCTCACGTTCAGCTGCATCGGCCGTATCTTCTGATCCAGAATAGATCTTTTGCTTGGATCCAGTTTCATTGTTGGCATCTGTTGCACTCGGCAAGTATACCTCCGCTGTTCGAGTTTGTAGCAAGGGAGGACCAAGAATGTCGTTGATTTTGCATATCTTAACGACTTCTGTATTCTTCTCATTATCACCGCCATCCATTATGTTTCCGGATTGCTCCAGTTCCCGTCTGGCGTTGATTTCAAGAACCCCAAAGGCTTTTTGCAGCTTCTCTCGACTCCTTGAGAGTCTCCCTCTCGAAGATCTAACCCAGGGCTTCTCGCTTGTAAGCTCTCTAGCATTCACTGCCACTCCATCTTCCCCTACAACTGCTCCCACGTTCCTCCGATGAACATCAGGGTTCAGAGGTTCGTAAGTACCATCAAGAACATCGCTGCTAACTGTTTCCAGAAAAGTTTTCTGCGTGTCTGCCCATGCTTCTCTCAGAAACCATGCCAGTTTGTTCCTAACTCTTCCTTCGGTGTACTTTTGTGTGATCTCTTCCAAGAGATCGAGGTTACTATGAACCTTCCATAGCTCATTTCTGATGTCCTCCCTGGCAATTTCAAATGAAAGCCTTTCTGCAACCGGCTCCTCTGTATCCATAATAAAATCTCCCCAGTATTTAGCCAGCGCTGCTTCAAAGGCCTTCTTACTAAGCGAAACCCCCCTCAAATGTTTTACAGTTAACTCAATCATTACATCCAATTGAAGTTCCCACGAAGGAGCTCCTGCTTGCATATAGGCAAAATTTGTTCTTAGACTTCCATCTTTGAGGCCAATTGCGTCTCCTCTGGGAAAGAGTTCTTCAGACCGATTCGCGTCTCGTCTTCCCTCTTCCCCTGTGCGTTCTCTGCGTGACTTCTTCGACTTCCTCCCGAAAAGGCTCTCCGGGAGTCCCCTTTTCACCGATTCTTTCGTCGCTTCCACTTTCGAAATTCGAGTGTCGTGCTTTTCCCCTTTCTCAGTCGCTTTCCGCTTCTTTGCAGGCTCATCAGATGCTTCACGAAAACAGATGCTTTCAAGTGAACAGTCAGGCTTCCTGACCATCTCCCCGAGAGCCTTCAGGATGTCAAGCGTAAGTTCATCAAATTGTCCTAACGACAACTGTAAGGAAAGAGACCTCAAAAGTAGCAATCGCTTGAGATTTAAATTCTCATTCGGAAATGGCAGAGCAGTCATCAACTCCAAGAGCAAACTTCCATTCGTGTTATTCTTCAAGAAAAACTCCCAAATCCATTCTCTCTGTTTCAGGTCTCGATCGGCCTCGTCTTGGCCCTGAGCAGGTCCAATCAAGAGACTGCAAGCGGCGGAAAGAGGCCGCAAATTCGACACGGCCATAGTCTCCGCAGCTGTGGCGCGCTCTGACAGCGATTTCGAGAGCAAGGGCGGACTGTCATGAGACTCGAAGCGCGAGACAGCTCTGCGCCCACGTCAATCCCAATTCGAAAAAATTGCCGTGACCGGAATTTGCACCCGACATCGAATTCGAATCGTGGCTCTTGTCTGGAAGAGGCCAGCGTAGGGGCGTGTGCGTGACTCTTCTCGCGACTTACCCCACTTCGGTAAAGATATAAGACGTTGGACAAAGTAACATATGAAATTCTACAACTTACACGATGGTGTTTGCGTTATAATATAGTAATGTCATAGTGGGAGACACAGAGACACACAGAGAGAGGGATATCTATAGTGGACATCATTGACTCGACCCCCGATTAAAACCACACGCAGATTAGATTGCGGGTTTGGTTACGTCACAGGATTCGATTAGGTTGTGTATGATAGTGGTACTGTACAAGCAATGGAGTCCAAGATTATCATTTTTTTATGCCTGGTCTTGTTAAGTAAGCGATTTATATTTTAAATGTATTTTTAGGAATATCCGTCAGAATTATTCCTAAAACTAAAGCCTATAAAATGCTTTGAAATATCTTTACTCCAGTAAATTTATTTATATTTAAAATATAAAATAAAATAAATAGAAATTTTTATATTAAGTTTCATGATCACTGTTATGACTACATGAAATAATAACTAGAATTACATCACATAGAGGAATGAATTTTACAAGTAAATGACCTTGCACTTATTATTCTCACGTATGATTCTTATAAAAGGCAATTTGTAATATGTTCATGTAACTTGATGTAACTTAATCTTCACACTTATTAGAGTCAATTCATTGCATTTAATCGAATCACACTTTGGAATTTATTTCACATGTTAAAATAGCCCTAAAAAATGATTATTTTATTCAGATTATAGAATTTTCAAATTAATTTCTAATCATGGCTATAAATGAGATAAAAAAAATCTTCTATATTTCAAAGTTTAGAATAATTGGGAATGGTCTGGTTTGTCATAAATCATGGTAAGATACTGATGTATATTACATTTTTTGGTTCTCTACAAACGAAATAAAACTGATATGATTCAAGATCATTTTCATAATCGCATTATGTGCACATTAATTTTAGACTTTACATCAACAAATGACGTGTGAGATCTTTTCCTAGCATATGCAAGGATTACATATGTGATTACTAGCTCAAAAGGAGTATTAGTCTACATTTTGTCTTTTTTGGTTCATATATATATGACTTGGTTAACATTGATAAAATACAGATTTTTCATAATGCATATAAATGGATTGCAATGGTGAGGCAACAGAACATCGACACCTCGACGGGGACCCAAAATATCCAAGATTAATCATGTTTCTACTAGATATCTCAATGCTATAACTGAGAGGAATAAGATTAGGTAAATTGAGGCAAGATCATTCAAGAGCTGATAATTAAATTGAATCTAGTTGGCATAGACTAAGGGTTTTGATGTGAGGTAGTGACCGAAGAAGATAGATTCACAAAGAAGACACGCTGAATGTCAGACACCTTTCATACAAAACATATGCATAACATTGCAAGTGGTAACACTTCATACTGTAGTGTCATCACCTTGCACTACAAAATATTATGCATAACATTGCAAGTGGTAACACTTCTGGGTCTCATATGCACGCATTAAAGAAAAGTAGAATGCTATTAACTACATGTAATTTCAAAGCGCCGTTGATTCTACTGAATATTGTATCACTTACATTCATATATCTGCTTGGTTGGTAGACCTTGTATTAAAGTTATGTGACTGTTGTTAGTGTTATGCATAAGGTGTTCCATTAGCAAGATAATCGATGGAAGGAGTTCAATGATTGAATATGGACATAAATGAATAAAGAGTTGTCGCGGAAAGGCTGTTGGCAGTGACGCAAGCCAAGTTAGCTTTTCTTGTGTTAGCAAGTATGTCATGTGTTTACAAGTTGTATATGATTAGCATCGGATTAGGATGAATTCTAGTTGATTCAACCCTAGGTTAAATCACTCTAGTAAGAGAGTATAGTCGCGTACTCAAAAATTTGTAAGTTCTTTGAGGTTAGATTTTTGCGCAGGAAAAAGCCTTCAGTAGGTTGGTTATGGTGTCCCGCTAGCTTCGACCTGTAGTCTCTGACGTATGAAGTGGATTTTGACTCGATTTGATGTGAATCTTTCTGTTTGAAACTAGTGGGATTTTCACAAATACTTTCACTTGAAGAACTCAATTATTTTGTCGTTTTGAGAGATTTGTAACTCTGACTCGTAGGTATTTTGCCTCTTACCTGGAGTGCTCCGGCCACTTGTCAATTTCTTTTGATATAAAATTATAGCATTGACGCTTTGAGTTCTAGATTTTCAGGTTAGGAATTGTGGTTGTCGTATACAGTGTGGTTCATTGACCAAGTACGATGAAGAGAATGAGAGATCCAGATGCAAAATTGTTGATGCGGCTAGTCTAAATCAAAATTAGAGACTTTTTTCGACTAGTTTTGATGATTTGTGAGACGTTGAGAAGGAGAATTTGGAGCGGCTTGGCGCAAATATTCAAACGTTGTTGTTTCAAAGTAGAGTAGTGCTTGTAATTGAGTTTCTATGATGAAAGAATCCGCAATCCCGTTGTCGGCTGATCATGCATATATGTTTGACACAAAGACACGTCAAATTTTGCTCGTGATCCCATTTTTCTTCATCCGAACGAAGATGAAGAATACTTTGTCTCATCTTCGGCTCATTCTAGTATAATTGCGAGCCGCTCAGACATTTTGAGTCTCTGGCCTTTTGAGTTTATTCATTGCATACTGTGAAATGAGGAAGGTACCGCATCAAAATCAATTGCAGAATTTAACAAGAGTATTGGAAACGGTGCAGTTTTGAGGTTTCAAATTCAAACTCTAGGATTTTGTGTATTGAATCGGAAGTGAGTGGATGAAAAGCGGACGTTGCCAAGTACATGAGAGGATGCATGAATATGTGATCGCCCGGGACGTGAAGTGCACTAAGTGGAATGGTTTGAATTGGCAAACAAGGTAGACGGAGCAATTGTGATTTTGAATAGCATTTTTTATTTCTGTTTCAGATATTTATGATTGGGTCTGTCAAACTTGATTAAGATCTTTTATTTCAAAGTTTTTTTTTTTTTGTTCTACCTCGTACACAATCGAACGAAAACTTTGACTTTTCAGTACCATATGGTTGACGTGTTATCCGCTCTAGTGTAGAGTCGGTTTTGGCTCTGGACGATGAAACTTTTAGAAGCTTCATTGAGAAGTCTTGGTGCTTTGTCGACTCTTTTTCTGGTAAATTTGTGTGAGGTTGGAAGACTTGTTGGAATTAGAAGGTGCTGATGAGCTTTACTCTTTTTGGATTTCAAGGGTTTTGAATGATCTGTCTATTTAGAGGCGCAGAAGACCTTGGAGGAGGCAAAAGAAAACTGCTCTTTTTTTATCGTCTTAGCGAAGGGTTTGAATCAAGATGTTATTCTATGCGGTGTTGAGTATGGAGTCTTGACTTCGTACATTGTGGAGGTAAACAACTGAGATTTAGTTCTAGTCTTCACAAACATTTTTGCCCGGCATTTTGTAAGGAAGAGAAGTATTTTGTTGAGATAGATTTTTTACAATATCACACTACTTCATAGTAAGGAAGTGCAATTAACATCATGGTGAACTTTGTTTATAGTATTATATACCTCCTAGCAAAACTGTTCAATTAGTAGGAAAGCCTATTTGTATCTGAGTGTGACGTATGTGAAATGGGCCAAGCTGAAAAGTTGGTTTTTGTGTCATTTGTTGTTATATACTCACAAAATTACAGTTGACAATGTAATTTCAGACCATGTAGCCTTGTCAGTCAGTCATGTTCCGGCTTGGCAGTTCAAGTTGAGCTTAATATTTATTTTGACAATTGGGTTTCAAGGAGGTAATATCGTGCACAACATCATTTACAATCAATTAGTCAAGAACAAGTTACTCACGTTCTGAATTATCTAAGTTAAAGTAAACTTGTTTGTAAACAATGCTGCAAAACTATTAAAACAGTTAAATAGTTTGACTGTTAAAAGGTTTTTAGTTCTAAAAAATAACGCCTTTTACTTATTTCATTTTACATGATATCTTTTTTGGGTACTTTGTGCACAGTCAGGTTACAGGTCTTAGTAAATTCTTTAGTGAAGATAAACGTTCAATTAGTCATGGTCAACAAATTGTGATGTTCTAGTTAGTGAAAAAACCTTGCAAATAAAAAATCTACAGAGCTCTTTATATTTAAGATTGAAGAAAGATTTCAAGTTGTGAAAAAAAATTGAAAAAAATGAAACATTTATTAGAGAACCTATTCTGAAGGTACCAAGAAGTGAGATTCCGTCTCCCCCATTCTAGTTTTCAGGTTGTGAAAATATCTACTTATATATATATATATATATGACGTGTTCAAAAACATATTAAGATTTTCAGTGCTTAGTGTGTTTGTTAAAGGTAGTGGGAGCATTAGTTTTATCCTGATTCCTTTTTACATTGTGAACAGTAGGGTAGACTGACTATTTTTATATTCCTTGACCCTATTTGTAGTGTGAAGTGGAGGATGACAGCACGACGTGGAATTTCTCTTTGCAACTTGGTGGACGAGGTTGCATTGCATGGAATATAGGTTGAAGGTGATATGGGCGATGGAGATCAAATTGGAATCGTTATGCAATGTGATGTCCCATGTATTGTGTTATTTTGTGTAGTGTTTACTTCAGACTTGAGAGTCTTTGCTAGCTATTTGATTGTGTTTGGATCTTCTCTAGTCTTGCTTCTTGGTGCGCTTCTGTGTAGGGGTTGACGCTGGTTCTTGGAGTAGTTTTACTCTAGTGTGTTGTCGATAGTGCGGCTGGGTTGATCACCAAACGACCAATCTTTGTTATCACGGTCATGATGAAACTGGAGTGACGACCAATAGACCGTGAAATTTTTCTTGCGGTGATGGCAGATTAGATTGCATATACTCCACAACTAGTAGGGCTAGAGTAGCTTAGTTTGGCCATAAAGTTAGCAATTGTTTGCTACTTGGTGGAGATTTGACAGTTATTCCCGTTGGGAATTTGGTTTGTATTACCGGATGTTGTATGTGTGAAATAGAATTAGAAATAGCCAAGAAGTTGGTCATGGTTAGCTTAGTTATGACTAAGTCTATCTACTTATAACTAAGTTATCAAGTTACAACTATGTTTAGCTATAATATCTATACTTGGCGGTATAACTAGAGAAGTTTTAG